GGAGCCATCCCAGATTTTTCCATAGCCCCCTCACAGCCCCTTTCCAGCATCACCCATCCCTAACACAGCCCCCATGTGCCAGGAGCACAGCCCTGAGCACAGTCCCACCCTGCGGCTGCAGTCCCACCCTTATCCCCATGCAGATCCGGGGGCATACACACCTACCATGCCCTCCCAAGGTATGTGCGGTGGCAGGAGCTGCCCCCTCTACCTCTGGATGAGCCGTTGCTCCATCCTGTGCCCCGCCCTGGCTGGGTGGCACCTGCCCCTGCCCCACTCCCTCCCTCACCACGGAGGCCTTGATCTACCCCCATGCCTCTTCCCTCTCCCCCTCCTTTCTGCCATGACAGACATACCAGCTGCACGCAGCTCTCCAAGCTGCCAGACTGTGCTCCTTGCTGCCTGCGTGCTGTGCTGTGGCTGCACATGTGAACGGGCATTTATCGGTCAAATTATTGGCCACATCAGGCCGATTTCCAATACAATCATTTTTCTTTATTTCAGTGCCGATCCGATATCGGACTAATGTATCGGTGCACCTCTACTTGTAATTGTTTATCATTTGTGTCAATTGGGCTCTCAGCTTAGACATAATTGCCTGCCTGGGGTTTAACATACCTATGGAAATTAGGAGTTTACACTGGAAACACAGAGACCCTTAAATAATTTAGAATTTCCTTATGCTCCAAATCCTTATACTTTGGAGCACTCTCAGGAAAGATCCAGCCAGCTGTTTAGCCAGCGTAATCCATTAGAACTGTTCCTTGCAGAAAGTGATATCCATTCATAAATCCCAGGTAGAAAGTAGTGTCACATTTGGAGGATTTGAGGAAGATCCTTTTAATTTTCTTGCCTAGAGGAATGAAGCGCTCCTATATCTGAGAATGACGGGCAACAAAATCAGAAACAAAGGTGGAATGTACTTTGCTTCAATGCTGCAAGTCAATTCTACCTTAGAGAAGTTAGATCTTGGAGACTGTGATCTGGTGAGTAAAATAAGATTTTCAACATCACCATCAAACTTGTACTCTTTTAAAGATATTATTACCAAGGTGGAATAGTGTTTAATTAATGGATTAATCATCTATTGCCTTTGTTATCTTGGCATCATAAAGTATTGTTACAATCAGCCAGTTGCATTTAGCAGGACACATTGCATAGATCATAGAGCAGTGATTCTTTTACTGGTGTACTTTGGCCCCCTGAGGTGCCTTGAGATCCTTTCAAGGGTGCCCCAAACATTAGCACTTTCACAGTTGTGCAAACATGTTTCACAAGATAAACCCAGAGATTTCAAATAGGAATCCATAGTGTTAAAAACGTTTTGACCTGTTGTGGTCTTTCTGAGTTCTTTGCAACAGAAAAATTGTTTTATCATCTTTCCCAAGGCAAGCGTTAATTGAAAACTAAGAGCTAACAAGAGGGGTGCCTTGAAGGTTGAAAACCACTGCCGCAGAGTATATATTGGGGACTATGCTGTAGTACTGTACAGCTTCTGTCGGTTCTTTTTTCCAGGTAGTTATGAGAGGAGTTAGACTGTGTCTGCTAATCTTTTGTGAGATTTAGTTTTTATAATTCATTATAGTATCTACATCTCATGTAGTTCATGGAAATGAAAGAACTCTATTTCCTCAGGGTTCCTTTGACCCCCAAACCTGACAGTACCTACGTTTCAGTGCTCTGCCACCTCTCTGAGTTAAGTACCTAAGCTTTCTATTCAATGCATGGAGGAATTAGGCACCTAGAGCTGAATCCTCAAAAACCAGCACCCAAAGCAGGGAACTACCAAACCTAGCCAGGAGAAAGCACTGAGAAGATGATGTATAGTACAAGCTGTGTTACCCAGCACTTTATTAACTGGCATGCTCTATTAACCGGCATGCCGGTTGACACGACAAAAACAAAACCGGAAGTCACACTTCTGGTTTCACTGAGTCCCGCTTTGCCACGGCCTGGGGCAAAGCAGCCTGTGCTGAGCCCCCCTGCCTGTCACCTGGCACAGTGACGCCAGGGAGTGAAAGCCTGGCACACCGGACGTGGCGGGAGGGGCAGCAGCCTGGCCAGTCAAAGACGCCTTTCAGGTAACAGGGCATATTTGGTTATCCGGCACCCCCCATTCCCCATGGGTGCCGGATAACAGAGCTTTTGCTCTATTTTGAAACCTATGTCTCTCGACATTAGAAACCTTGCTCTGGGTTGCAGAGTCCAATCAGGATTCACAACCCTCATGAAGTAAGCTGTATCCTCTAATGCTTTCTCATCAAAGGTTGTTATGGGATAGTGAGTTCTGCAGCCTTCCTCTGGAACCTGCTCCACTTTTTCTTGGAATGGTTAAATATTAATTGAGCTAGAGAGGGTGAGCATGATTCAGCACGAATTCACAGCATTCAGTCCCAGTCTCTGCTCCAGTGAATGCTAGATACAAAACACTTAAACCTTCTAGACCTGCAGGCTTTCAAAAATGCCTTTTCAAAGGGTGAAAGTCGCATGGGCCATATATTTGAGATGTCAGGACAGGTAAAACACCTATGTAAAACTGCAACAGGCTTGTCTACACTTGAAAATTAATTTGGATCAAGATAGGGAGTGTGTGTAAAGGGAAGAGGGATTTCTGAACAGTCTCTCATGGAGAGAGGCTCTCAAGTTTACTTTTATGCCCAACTGAAATGAATTTAAAGGATTTTGTTGTATGAGACCATAAGAACAGACTTGCCATTCATTAGTATTTCTTTGCCAAATCAGAATATTTTACAGGTAGGAAGATGGGAACGAGAGGAGGCAATAAAAGGCCATATTTGGCACCTATAGTAGAACCTCACTAATCCCCACACTGGGAGGGTGACACCCACTTTGTGTAAACTTAATTACTAGCAGACTGTTTACTGTGGTGAGTTCTTATTGCCAAGACTTATCAAATACACCACAGAACATTTCCTAGTACAGTAAGATTTTTCATAGGTTGTGAAAACCAGAACTACATGGTCAAATATATGGACACACATCAATTTTTGATGTGTTACTCTTACCTTTTGATTTAGCCATTTACTGTCTAATTTTCCAAATTAAGGAATTTGCAACATGTATTTTAGTCATTAGTTCCAATTGATTCAGTTCTGCTGAGTTAAAGGCCTTTTTTGGGATGATTATCGGTGGTAATATTGGAAAGAAGTACACATCTGTTTCAGTAATGCTGAGGAAGATGGCCTGAATATCTCTAAGATACATGGGACCAAAAATAGTAGCCTTTCTAACCCCTTTTGAGTTAGAGTTCATGACCTTCTGAAAATGCTTCCTAGGGAGGTATGTAGTTTGACTTGCATGTTGCACAGGTTTCTCTGTAGCATTTCTTTCTTTTTATTTTCAGGGTACACAGAGTCTAGTGGCAATGGCAACAGTCCTAAATCAAAACAAAGCAATCAAAGCAGTCAGCCTAAACCGTCCTATACTGTATAGCCAAGAGGTAAGCGCATATCACAGTATCAGTACAATGAAAGAGATGCATGAATAAAACCAATACAGATGGATTTACGGACATCAGAAGGAGAATGTGGGCCCTGTCTATATTAATGTTTGCAGCTTGTTTGCATCGTTTTTCCACTTGTGCCTAAAATCTGCACCCAGAGCTGCACCAGCTTAACTAAACGTGTGATTTTTAAACAGATCTAGCAGTTGGACATGTAAGCAATTACCATGGGTTAAAAGAAGGTGGAACTTTACTGCACATCAGTAAGTGCTCACGTGCACACTGTGACCCCATGGTATGTAGAAGCTAAATAATGGCAGTTTATTCCTCAGTGAAGGAGAGTTAAGTTACCCCAGTCTAGCACAGGATAAGAGCGTACAGATGAGCAGCTATTACAGAGCAGTTGATGGCCATGACTTCTGATGTATCTTGTGGTATATTGTAGGTCCGTGCTCTCTCCCCTCTACTAGATATTCATTTATTACTAGCTTATAATAGTTTGGTTGGTAAATGTATAGGTACAAAATAAACTGCTAATAACTTCTTATACAGTAGATGGATCCCTGCAGGGGTTTGCACTTTTTTCCATTTTAAACTTTGCAGTGTCTGCCTAGCTAAGACCGTATTTCTAGAGTTTAGCTGCCTGCCCTCGTAAGTCCTGTGTGCTGTATCAGGGAGTAGATTTCTTGGAGACCTTACATGTTGTAATAGGCTAATGCTGAGATGAGGTGATGAGAATCATTGGGTTTGATTCTGGTTTTTGTTATAGAATCATTAAAAAAAAATAGGGCTGGAAGGGACCTCAGGAGGTCATCTAGGTCATCCCCCACCCAAAGGCAGGATCAGCTCTACCTGTTCTTTACAACCCCCAGTGATAGAGATTCCCCAACTACACTAGCTCATCTTTTTCAGTGCTTAACTGTTTCTGCAGCTAGAAAGTTTTTTGTCTTTGTTAACCTAAATCTTCCTTCTTGTACTTTAAGCCTGTACTACTTGTCTTAAAACTGTTACATATTTGAAAGCTGTTATGTCTTTGCTCAGTCTTCTCTAGGCTAAATGAAGCCAATTCTTTCAATCCTTCCTCATCCTGTTTTCTAGACTTTTGATCATTTTTTGTCCTTTTCTGGAATGTCTCCAATTGGTCCATATCTTTCTTAAAATGTGGTGCCCAGAACTGGACACTGCTCCAGCCGAGGCCTGATGAGCAGAGTGGAAGGATCACTTTGTTTGTCTTGCATATGAAGCTGCTGTTTGTTATCTCCAGCTGACTGGGGAAAGGGGTGGTGTATTTACATAGCTCAGGAGGAATTTGGCCCCAAGAGAAGGTCCCATGTTAAAATTTGGGTTTAATAAAACTGAGTTTGTATTTTCAGGAAGATACCACAATTCACATAGCTCTAATGCTGAAAAATAACTCTTGTCTTGTTGAGCTGCATTTGTGCAAGCATGAAATTAAGAACTTTGGTGTGGAGCGACTGTGTGAGGCATTGTATGAAAACTGCAGCCTGAAATACCTTGACCTCAGCTGGTAGGTGATTGCTATCCTATTTCTTGTTATAGAAAGACCAAGCATATTATTGCTGGTGAAAACTTTGTTCAGTGAAGCGCACATCTAGTAGGCAGGAGGATTATTTATTCAGCACTTATTACCATTCTCTCTCAACCAGTCTCTGACTGTCTATATGAGGTGGAGAGTTGGGTTGGAAGCCATAGGAGGAGAATGGGCAACATTCAGTTAGCCCCAGAGGTGCTGGGGAACTGCCCTGCCCCAGAGAGAGCCCCAGGAAGCACCAGTTTCACAGAGGGGCACTGCTTCCTGGAATACCTCACCGTATAGGTGGGGGAGCTCTTTCCCACACCCTTGTAAGGAGCACACGATCCTCCTCCTGTCCCAGCCTAGCTGGCCTACTGTACAATGAGACCGTGGGCCATGGAAAGAGAGCCACAGGCTTCTTCTACATGGGCCATGGAAGGAGAGCCAGAGGTTTCTCCTACCCTTCTGCCCCCTTGCACTGTCAGGGCCTGGGGGCAATGCTGCAGTTCAATGCTAAATTCACAATGCTTAGGTAAGAGATTGGTTTCCCTTTGGCGTATTTCAGATCTTCCTGTCTTTGCACCAGCAGGATACTGACAGTGCCCTTGTCCCCTGTTTCACCTAGGGCAAGTTAAAGGTTGTTTTAATGTTTGGGTTTTGTGCCTGGTAGTTTTGTGTGAGGGTTGTTCTCTGAGGTTTTAAGAACAGTTTTGACAAAAGACTTGTCTAGGATGGTTTTGACAGGGATGATCCTGCTTTGAGCAGGAGGTTGGATTAGGTGACCTCCTGAGGCCCCTTCCAGCCCTACTTTTCTATAATTTCAAGCCCCAAGTGATTGGACCACCAACAGGGGGAAAATGTATTTGATAGAAGATCCTAATCGGCCAGCTGGACATGATCATTCTACAGAAGTTTTAAAAACTCAAAATTAGAATTCAGTGTAACCTGTAGGACCTGATCTCTGGAAATGCAAGACAGAACTGGGCAGCAGAAATTCCTTTAATCTATTAGTTTAGGTGAATAATTGAGTTAATAATCAGATTGGGTATTAGATCAACAACTGTAAATTTCAGAATAGTTCATTCAGCAGCTTGTTAAGGTGTTTTCAGCCTGTAGAGTCGCACAGCATATTTCTCTGCAGTATTCCATTTTTATGTCTCTTCCAGCAATAAGGTAACTCGTGATGGTGTGAAATTTTTGGGAGAACTGCTGAAACGGAACAAAACCCTGGAAATCCTAGATCTTCATTCCAACAGGATAGAAGATGATGGAGCTATCTATCTGAGTGAAGCCTTAGCTTTGTACAATGGGACTCTTCAAGCGTTAGTATACATAAGACTCCTTAAATAAGTTACCAGTGATCACACCTGCAATATCAGAAAATCTGATGTGGCAGTGCATACCAGCACTGAGGAAATCATATAGGTGTTCATAATCAAAACTGAAGTCAAACAGTTTCCAAAATCCAGCATCGGGGGTAAAGTAGGCAGTAAAAGCTGCTGATTCTGATATTCCATGACTTTTCTTCCTGGGCTTATGCAGGGCCAACAAAGTACTGGTCTAAAGAATGCTCCCCACTCAGGTGAGGTTTACACCAGGAGGAATACACTAATCTACCATGCCAGCATAAATGCTGGGGCCTTTTGCCAGCATAGCTACTTCCATCACAATTCATATTTCCTCAGGGTCCTGATGCTACAAAGCTGCCAAAGGGCTGTAGAGTAAAACTGGCCCCAGGGAGCTGTTCAAAGTCTGATGACTGGGCTACTCAACTGTTGGTTTACCCCACGGAAGAAAAGCCAAGCAATCACCTTTCCCTTGGGAAAGGGAATGCTGGAAACAAGCAGGGGGAAGAGTGTGAGGTAGGAGTTTCACAGCAATGATAAAACTTGCCCTGAAAAACCTTAGTTCCCTTCCCCCGTTTCACCATCTGTCCAACAAAAACCCCAAACAAACCTTGAGTAAAGGCTTTGTTCTTGCTTTCAAACCCTTTACCCCATAACAAATTTCCAAATGCCACAGTACAGTGGAAATTTCAAATATACCCATCCTCTAGCCCCTCACACATACCTGTCCAAGCTCCTAACCCTCTAGTGTACTGTCAGCCCTAGGTAAAGTACATAATTTCCCACCCCCCATTTTCCTTGCCTGTTTCTCTGGGTGTAATCCATTGCTACAGGAGTTCCTCTCAGACCACTGCTGATATTTGAGCAAGTTTTTGTTCCTGTTTGAATCTAAAATCAGTTTGCTAGCATTTTCCACAGTTATCTACTCAGCAAAGTAAGCTGCTAGAGTGGTTCTTTGATAAAAATTGGTACTAGAGCTTGGGTCTAGGTTCCTTTTTTGTCTGCGAGAGTTAGGGACTGGTTGTGCTGAAGGATCTACAAATGAGGATCTTTATGACTGCACAGACCCTGTTTATGTCACCAGGCCTCCGTTGGTTCAGATTCTGATATCTGGAAGCCTGTTTATAGGACAAAGTTTATTATCTCTCCTCCAGGTAAACATTGGGTCTTTCAAAAAGCCATGTTTTGGCTGGATATAAGAACCAATCACCAGTGTTGCCTGAAGCCATTAGTCTTAGCGAGAAAGACTAAGGAGTCGGCTTAGGTGCCTCTGGAAATTACAAAAATCACTCTCCGTATGACCTGGGGCAAAGCTGTAACTTGACTGGAAACCAGAGCTGTGCTTTAGAGAAGACAAATGAGACCAGGCAAAAAGGTTATCTACACTGAGGAAATAGTCGGTAGCTTTGCCACGCAAGTCAAGGAAGTGCCTTGAGAAACAATGCTGGGCTTGTATAAGACTTACTGAGTTGGACTAAAAAAATCATCTCCATGTTGCTAATTTGTTTCACATCATTGTACTTAAAGTTATGAGGTAGAAATTGGGTAGTTTGGAGTCTGCATAATTAATGCTGCTTAATGCTTCATTTCTATTTATTAGGTTAGCAGTGGCGAGCAACAATATAAGTGGAAAAGGACTTCTTGCTCTTTCCGATGCTTTGAAAACAAACACAGTGCTTTCCTACATCTATATTTGGGGAAACAAATTTGATGAGGCCACCTGCATGGTGAGTGCTTTCTTCACTGCTGAACTTTTTTCAGTTATCCCCTCTGCCATACAACTCATGTGCTGCCTGTAGTTTACTAGTATAGCTGGTGTGTTATTAGCTGTATCCCATTTCATTATAAAACTAATAGTTGCAAAATAGCTTTCTTATGCCAAGTGACTATAGGACATTAAATATATACATGTGATAAACTTGAGCACCAGCACGGGCGATATTAACCTGATCTGCATTGAGGTAGATACTCTGGTAGAATATTCTAGTTTAATTCTTTGTGTTTGTTTATTTTAGGCATTTTCAGATTTACTTAAAACTGGACGCTTGAAACCAAATTGTACAGATGTGGATCCATATGAAGTGGATGGGCACATATACCTTGCAGAACTCTCACATGGCCTGAAAAAGCATTACTACTGGACACCAAGTTATGGGCCAGCTGTTAACAAAGATGCCAATGCCAGTCTTGCAATAGGAGCAGTTTCAGAACATTTGTGAGCAGGTAGCAGTTCAATAAGTTCATATTCATATATGAAATAAAACAGAAACGTCTCATTCATAGAACATTACGGTTGGAGGGAACCTCAGAAGGTCATCTAGTGACCAGCCTCTAGCTCAGAGCAGGACCTTCCCCAAGTAGAACATCCCAGCCAAGGCTTGGTCTAGCCAGGGCTTAAAAACGTCCAAGGATAGAGATTCTGCAGGCTCTCTGGATAACCTGTTCCAGTGCTTTACTACCCTCCTAGTGAGAGAGTTTTTTCCTAATATCTAACTTAAACTTTCCTTGCTATAACTTTAGACCGTTGCTCCTTGTTCTGTCATCTGCCACCACTGAGAAGTCTCCATCCTTTTTGGAACTACCCTTCTGGTAGTTGAAGGCTGCTATTAAATCTCCTCTCAGGCATCTCTTCTCCAGACTATAAATAAACTCCATTCCCCCCAGTGCCCTAACCATTTTCATTGCCCTCTGCTGGACTCTCCAATTTGTCCACATCTTTTCTGTAGTGGGGGGGCCCAAAACTGAACACAGTACTCCAGATGTGACCTCACCACTCCCACATAGAGGAGAATAATCACTTCCTTTGATCTGCTGGCAACGCTTCTACTAATGCAGCCCAGTATGCCATCAGCTTTCTTTGCAACAAGGGCACGCTGTTGGTTCATATTGTCCATTTTGAGCTTGTCCTTATTGAACCTCATGAAATGTATTTTAGTCCAATCCTCCAAATTTGCCTAGGTGTCTCTGAAGCTAGCCCTACCCTCTGGTGTATCTACTAGTCCTGCCAGCTTGGTGTCATTTGCATTTCACTGAGAGTATCAAAACATATGTCATTTCATAAGGAAGTTATTATGCAGGGTATGAACACACACCTGAAAAATATGAGAAATAAAAAAACAGCTCCAAATGACTGTAGAACGTAATGATTGTTATACAGGTAGAATGCACTATTCTGTAGCTAAATAATGCCTAAATTGTGATAAAAAGCTCTTGCAATGAGTTTTCCATCACCACAAACTCAGCAGCCAGTCAGAAAATGCCAGGGAAGAAAAATGTACTCTTTTGCAACTGTCTGTCATCACAGAGAACAACATTGGTCTACTGTGCGGGTGAAACAGGTGTGTACCTGTGTACGGGGTCTGTGCAGTTGTTTGGCGTGGCTGGGCAGATATGTACCAAATGAGCACATCAGCTGGATGGCAGGCTTTCTGGTAACCCTAGCCTTAGCATGCACTAGGGTACAGAGCTCAAATTATTAGGGAGAATTTGGGAAGTTGCATAGCATGCTGCCCCAGCTTTTCTCATCTGAAGACACCCACAGGGACCAATTTTGAGTGGCTACAAAACCTGCTGTTACAAGGAGTACTCGGAATATTCCCTGTGCAAGAGCTGCTGCAGGGCCATCAGCTCCCCCCTGCTTTGCAGAAGCATGGACCGATGAGATTCTCTCCTGGCCCTGGGGAACCTGAGGTGCACTTGGACAGATCTGCTGCATAAAAGCCTGCTTACAGGCCCAAAGAGACATCTGCTGCATAAAAGCCTGCCTGTAGGCCCAAAGGCAGCCAGCTGTGACAGTGCTAGCGTGCACGGAGAACTTATATGAAGGCAACTGTTTTGTTGTTGCTTTTTTTTAAACAAGCAGGGCACAACATTTTTGTTTGAAATAATTACATTATCCTTTGCTGGAAAAACCTGTGCACTGGAAAGAAAAATCAGGCTTTCAAGATGAGGCAAAGAGACTGATGGATAACATCAGGGACACCTAGAAAGCTGCTATGCAAGTATTATTTATTGTCTTAACTCATTGTCACAGCATTACTATCCTACAGATATAGAATTGTATAGGCATCAGACATGTCCAAGGCTGTACAAGGCTTTTCTTACTTTAGTCAATGCTGTATTGCTCTTGGAAGCAATTCAGCTTAGACTCTCAGTTGTTCACGTCCCCTATAAATTAGTCAGTTGCCAAAAAGCAGATGTGCTGCTAAACTAAAGCCAAGCTGGAAAAAAGGCCCTACAGATAAAGGGCAGCCTAGCATAAGAAAGATGAAAAATAGACTCAATAGAATTGAGGTGGTTTAGTTGCTTTAGATGTTCCCATACTGGCTGAGAGCTGCAGAAGCTAGCAGCATGCTTGAGTTTGTCTTTTTAAGTGAAGAAAATGGGGCCAGGACAAGTTTATAAATATGCTAGGCTTTTCTTGTTTGCTGTGAAATTATGAACAGTGTCCGGACAACTCTGGTCTCCCGAGTCTCCCCTCAGTAACTAGTAGGCTTGTACTAACAAAGCTGTTGCTGATGGTATGTCTGTGGTGATGTGTGTTTTATATCACAAGATAAAAGACTTTTCAGTGAATTTCTTTTACAGAGTTTCTCTCCTCTTTGAAAAGTTTAACTCCATACTTAAAAAGTGTCCATTTAAAAATTATTTTTCTTGCTCTTAAGAGTAGTTCTATTAAACAGTATTTAAACTGTTTCTGCAGCCCCAAAATGCTGTCTTGTACCAAGGGAATTTGGTAGTCAGATGATAATATGATGAATAATGCTTATCCCAAGTAACTCCTGCTGTGTTTTCGTATGCTGTGCTGAAGACTGTTTGTGACCCATCTAACATTATACAGCAGTGTTTTGTTTTCTGGTAGTTACATTTCTCTTCCTCCAGAAAGAGCAGACACAGGGTGAAGGAAAGTTACAAAACAGTTTATTAAAATCTAACATAAAATGCTGCAGGCTAAGTATGTACAAAAACCCCACAGGGATTATAAAAACAAAAGGTGAACTATGTACACATAACAGAGGAAAACCACTTTGTATATACAGGAAAATGCTCCAGAAATAACTTAACCAAAATCAATTACTAGTCCTTATCTAAACTTACTTCTGTAAGTGTTACCAACAGCTTCTCCTAAAGCCTAGTCTTGGGGTCCTTACTTGGTGCTTGCTTACATTTACTGGCACAGCTCCTTCGGAATAGTTATTTTGGTGGGAGACCCCAGATGGACACACTTTCTCCCAAATGAGAATCCATGCAGGGAGTTTATTCTGAAATAGCTATTTGAGTAAATTTTCAAGCCCTTGCCAGCAAAACTTGCATCAGTCAGTACTAAAAAGATGTCCTCACTGAAACACAGATCACCCTGGAAGTGTTCCCTAAGGCTCTTTTCCAAGTTCTTAAAGGAATTTTCAATGTTCCATCTTTCGTTTTTCAGATAGTCTCACAAAGGAAGGTTTGGCTACTGACTAACTGCATTACGCTATTAAAAAAGTGTCTATGCTTTTCCGTATTCATTTCTTATACAAACCATCAAGATTTTTGATACAACTTCCAGCTCCAAACTAAATTTGGGAGCAGTAAGGGTGCAGACAAAGATGCATGGGAAGCACATGCATGCACTGTGACAGCAACGGAGTAAAGAGTTCTTCTTTCAGGTTTGACTGCACTCAGCTAAAACATGCCTGCTGATATTTATTTTTAAAAAATCCAAATTTTACTAAATTAATATTTTAAAAGAAATCATCTCTCAGCTGCTGAGTTACTTCAATGGAAGCTGAGGATAAAAATCAAGATTCATAGATGGAGACTCGAGTGCAGATCATCTAATTATTGCTGCAAGAAAAACTAAGTAGAGCCTGTATATCCTATGAAGAAAGGTTAAAATTGCTCTTTTGTAAAAAAATAATCAGCATCTTCCTGTCTGTCAAGAAACTAAATGAGTAATACAAAGCAAATGTCACCTGTATAAATATCTAAACTGGATCCTGTATAAATCTAAGCACTGATTTGTTTTTTAAAAATCTGAAATGTAAGAATACAGTAGTAGTAATCTAAAATTGTAGAAGTATAAAAACAGTTCAAACAAACATTCTTATGGAATGCATATTCTACATAGGAATGTGGGCTTTTTGTTTTGTCCCCCATATCTGCTCATTGACCTTGTTCTTGGAATCATTAAATCCATGACTCTGTTAAACTTCAACTTCTTCAAGATTACTTTTTAATATACCATCAGCACATTGCAGGAGCTGTGCATCATCTTTAATATGGTTTTAAGGATGAACTGACCAAATATCAGCTTAGTCACAGAAGATGGCAAAGTGGGATGGCTTTTCTTTTGTGTGATACTAATTATTTAACAGTACTTGTCTTGATACTTTTGCTATATTTTTTAGTCAGGAAATGCAAGGAGCAAGCCTAGGTCCAGTTAGACAGAGTGAGCCTTTGTCACTTGTATTCAAGGCTGTGCTTTTTTGTGAGTCTTCAGTCACACAAATACCAGTTGGCCACAATCCTAGAAGGATTACAAAGGAATTAGAAACAGATGTTAAAAAAGCGGGGGAGGGAAAAGCCCCACTCCCCTGCAGTACTGAAAATCCAGTGTCATGAAAGAAACAATCTATTGATGAAGGATGTGGCTGACAGGGAAAGGTGGACTGCCAATGCAATGAATAGCAGGAATCTACTTTTAGTGAATACAGAGATGTAGATGGTTGCAGCAAGAGATTTCTCAGGGGCTTGATTGTGCTTCATACTGTCCACAACAGTAATAGATAGCAATTTTTGCTATGTTTTATAAAACATGAGCAATACTAGTGTTACACGCTGCACACACAAGATGATCAGCACATGGATAAAAGAACTGTTTTGCTGAGAAGATACAGAAAAAAATGTATGGAGGATGAAACAAAGAATAGGCTGAGAAAATGACAAGAAACAAAGAATAGGCTGAGAAAGTGACAAAAGACAAAGCCTTGCCTAGGATTCAGGGGTCCTTTTGTGGAGTAATTAAAAGATATTCTCTATGATAATTTTTCCCCCACAAAGTTTTCATAAGACCTCTGCTCCACAAGGGAGGGGACTGTATTATAAGGCGTCTTCTACCTTCTGTTTGAGGCCTGGACACAAGGCATGAATGAGAACAAAATTGTAGGAGTAAATAAATAAAAATATCACTGGTGCAATCTATGATGGAAGAAAACACACTTCTAGTTACATAGCTCTTCATTGGATGAGTCTTCAATGCTTAGACTATGTATTTATTTTTAATTATTATTTTCTATTGTGCTCTACCAAATTCTGGCCTGGGATAGTAAGAACCTGTTCTGTGTAACCCCAGAATTTAGGGCCTCCAGTTACTCGTCTTTTACTTTTTACTTTTATACTTGTGGGGTTGAATTCATTGTTCGTTACTTTAAACCCTTTAGGGCAGACACTGTCTGCTCTCTTGGGTCTGT